TTCACAGAACAATCAGAGAACTGCCTTAAAATGCACATATTAACACCATCTGAGTTAAGGGAGTGAAGCATATCCATGCAATGAAAATAGGCAATTTTGGAAGACCTTACTAGAGAACTTAAACTGGAAAATGTGATAGTCAAACAAAAACCCCAAAAATATGGATAGAGAGGCAGACTGGACACTAGTGAAGATTATATTCATGAGCTGGAACATCATGCAAAGACCATGTCCCAGAACACAGCACAAATGAAAAGACAGGAAGTATAAAGGAAAGTTTAGGGATCTAGGAAATCAATTCATATATTTCTAAATACATTTAATGGAATTCCAGAAAGAGAATGAGGACTATTAAAGTTGATTAATAATTGCTTAGAGCTTCAAAAAGATATGAATCTAGAAATTGAAAGAGTTCACTGATATTTTTTAAGCTCACACTTGAGAATAATCACAGTGAAATTTTTGAAAATCAGAGACAAAGAGAAAGCCCTAAAAGTTAAAGACAAATGACCTAAAAGGGAATGAGAATTCAACTGATATTAGATTGCCCTTCAGCAATATAAATTTAAGAAGGCACTAAGTCTGAGTAAATGTAAGTTTGAACCAAGAACTGTATATTCATCCAGACTATTGTTCATAAGTTAGGGCAAGAAAAAGACAATTCCAGATATATAAGGACTCAGAAATTTTACTACTTATAGACCTTCCATTAAAGAACTATTCAACATTGAAATCCAACAGAAAAAATAAACAAAGAAAAAGAGTTATAAGAATTGATGAGCAGGTAAATCAGTAAAATATATCATAAAGCTGAAATAAATATCCTAGTTTGAAGTTTTTAATGCACTGGAAATAAAATTCAGGTAAGAGCCCCAAGGTTGTTAGTAGAAAATTGGTTGGGTGGGGAGCAGGGAGGGTTTGGGGCAGGAAATATGTTAGTATGCTAAAGTTCTTGTCTTGTTTGGGGGAGAGAAAAGGGATACTTGACTGATTTTTTGAAAGGGCTTTTAAAAAACAAAGTATAAGTATTAAGAAGCTTAATGAGAGCCCCAAATTGGAAATAACTCAAACTTCCATCAGCAGGTGAATGGATAAACAAATTGCAGTATATCCATACAATTCCTACTCAGCGATAAAAAGGAACAAACTGCTGAAAACACACAACGTGGATGAATCTCAAAAACATTATGTTGAGTAAAAGAAGCCAGACACAGAAGAGTACATACTATATAATCCCATTTATATGAAACTCTGGAAAGAACACATCTAGCCCATAGTGACAGAAAGCAGATCAGTGGTCACTGGGACCAGGGGTGGGAGACTGACTGAGATGCAACAGGAGAATTTTGGGGAGATAATGGAAATATCCATATTCTGATTGTGATAATTGTTACACGTGTATATAAAATTGTCAAAATTCATTGAACTGTACACCTAATCTTGTACCCTCACTGTACACTTAGAATGAGTGCATTTTATTGTTTATAAATTATACGTCAATAAAATCGACAATAGGAACCATCAGAATTTCAGAAATAGAAAGTATAACTTTCAAACCAGTAGAACGGGAAAAGTGGGAAAAAAACTGAATCAGAAAGCAGGAAAGGGGAGGCTTAGGTGGTACCAGCCTGAACCAGGTGAAACAGGGATAAAGGGATGGATACTTGGTTGGGATACAGGCCGAGTCCAGAGGCCTGAGTGGGGCTGAGTGGGATGAAGAATATGGCCTGCAGTAGACTAGAGCAGACGGTCCAGGCATCTGTATCGTTTAAGCTCCCCCAGTGATTCCAGTGTGTGGCCAAAGTGGAGACCACCACTCTGAGGTCAAAGGATAAACAGCCATAGAAGCCACTTCAGCTAATCAGCTGGAGCCTCTCTCAAGAGCAATTTTCCCATCTCCCTTCAGCACCTACTCACCCTCTCCAACCCGCTTGTCCCTGCCTATCCCCCCGCCACCCCCCCCGACCACCACCCCCCCTCCCCTGGGTGGTGGTAGGCAGGGGGTTCTGTCTTTCACTGCCTTACTCAAATTATCCTCCCTTTGTCTTTCCATGACCTTTTCCCCAACTTTGTCTTTTTTTTTACCTCTTACTTTTCCAAAGCTCTCCACCTAGAATTGGAAATTAGATTTTTTAAAAAGTCTAATTAAGTGGCTATTATATTTTTCAAAACCTAAATTTGACTAAAGTAAATGATTTTTCACATGTGTGGGTCTTTAATTTCTTACTATTTCCTGTTCTAAGAGGAAAAACTTAGTAGTTACCCTTAATTCCAGTGGTGACCAGACTCTGTGACTCTCAGGACAGCCCCAATACAGACCCGTTTCTCCTACAGGGAGATTCCTGGACTCCCTGCCCTGTTTGTTCTGTGTCCTGTAGCTTTTCTCTCCCTGCAGAGCGGATGTTGAGGGAAAATGGATGCATGCAGGATAGCCCTTCTTTCCTCTTCTCCAAAAATGGCTTCATTTGACATGAGGGAATTTTCATTCAAACTCTCAACAAAAGAGTGGAGTGGCAATGAGACGTTGAGTTGCATGCCCTGAGCTCTGGGAAAGATGAGGGTGCACACGTGCCAACCAGCCACCTGCCAATACCTGAGAGCCCCTTCCCAGTGCTGTCCCATCCAAGAAATGGAGAGGATGCTTCTCCTTCTTTCTCTCTGTATCTTTCTATTTCCCTCTCTCCTTCCCTTTCTTCATACCTTCCTTCCTTTCCTCCCTCCCTTCTTTCGATGTCCTCCTTTTTTTCTGCAGGAGAGTGCTGTGAATGACTGGAGATGAGTCTGAAGAAGCCGAAGGACCTAATATTTGGACCAGCCTCTGTGCTCACACTCCCTCAGCTAAGACTGTAGTCCCAGGGACGCCAAATGGTACGACTCCATGAGGCAAATTCACATCATCAGTTTATATGAATGGCACCCCCTGGAGTTGTACAGTGCACAACCTGTGTGGCCATACATTGCAGCCTTGACAGCCACTCTTTTTCTTTCCTTGCACAATGAAGAACTCTGACAAGTTGAAGAATGATGCCCCTACTCTTGTGTTTCTATCCAGCCTCAGAGAGAACCAAGCTTACAGCTGTGTTCTTTGGTCTAAATCCCTCCAACCTAGTCACCTTCAGGACCTTGAAACTTATTTCCAGCCATCTTTGGGAAAAGGTTGGAAATGGGGTAGAAATAGAGTAGACAAAGACTGAGATCCCTCCTCACCTATGAGTGAGAGCCAAATGGGCCAGGTCATCTTCAACTCCTAGTTCCTCACTCTGCTTGGCTCCCACCTTAACCCTGGTGATGTTTCCTCATTCTCTGGCTGAGGTCACCCTTGTACCTGCTGACCAATTTCTTGCCTAGAGCTCTGGACCAGCCTCCCCCTTCCTGATCTCCCACCTTTGTCTCATTATGTCTTCTCAAATCTAATCTGAGCCAATATGGCATCTCATACTTCTACAAGAATGAAGGTACCTACCAGCTCTGCACAAACCCATGTGCCTGCTCTCTTCATGAAACTTGCTGGTCTGGGAGGGCAAACACTGGCCCCCACCACCCTGGCGATGGTGATCACATAATGAAGCGGAGACTTTGTTGTACACAACTGCTCATATATACGTGCATTTTTCTTGGAAGAATGTCCGTGGATTTCATCAGCTTTTCAAAAAGGTCCAAATAGGTTAAGAACCATTAGAGTAGTATTATATACCTTTTCAGGTATATAATACCTGATTGGCAGGTTATGATCTATCTCTTTAGAATGTAGGATCCCACTCATTTGTCAAATATTTACGGAGCATCTACTATGTGCCAGCTACTGCTCTAAGCATTGGGAATATAGCAGAGAACAAAACACAAAAATTTCTACCCTTGAGGGGCTTACTTTCCAGGGGCCAGAGACAGCCTGAAGCTGTATGAAGCATTAAATGAAACTGACTGATGATTCTAAGTTTTGAGCTCTATGAAGGTTCTAAGAACTCTGTGAACTCTGAGTTCCAAGTTCTAAGAACTCTACAAAGTTCAATGTTATGAACCCTATGGAGGTCCTAATAAGTTTTTGATGATGATACACACAACAGTGGTGATGACAGTGGCCTTAGCAGAAGCTCAGGCACCAGCCTGGAGCTGCCCCAAAGGAAACCTCTCGCTGCTGAGCAAAGAGGCAGGGGCAGTGGTTGTCTACAATGGGCAATGATGGTGAGAAGGCGGGAGAAAACCAAGTGGCCCCCACCCCACGCCAGTCAAAAGCACTGGCCCTTTTGAGGCCCAGCTTCCTCAGACTTCCACATTCATGTCCAGCTGGAGGCCTGGGGATCATAAGCCAAGCCAGGCCAGGGGCACGGGCTGGGATCTAGCTACCTTCCTCCCAGCTGGAAGCCAGAACTAGGGTCTTCTTCCCAGGATTAGGACGGGGGAGGCTTCCTGACATAGGTGTCCCTGATTGAAAAAAGAATGATGACTGGTCCTGGAGAGCACACTTGTTTGTCAGAGACGGAGAAAGAGAGGAGCAGGGTGTGCAGCCAAAGAGAGAACTCCTGGTGGAGGGGGCAATAGGAATAAGTGTTTAAATGAGGATGGCGGCCAAGCCAACGAAGGGGACCCCACGTGGCTTAGTACTGGGTTGGACAGGGGTGAGGGGAATGAGGCTGCAGAGGCCAACAGCTAGAGGGAGGGGGCCTGGTCAAAGTGATCTCTCCACAGACCTAAAATCTGCCCATGCTGGAGAGGCTCCGGATATTTGGAGGATCCTAGGAGGGTGAGGAGAGATGAGAAACAGGGTGAGAGAGAGACAGATTGCCCAGATCGTTGGATGCATCTGAAAGAGGCAGGAACCCAGGCCTCTGAGTTCCTAACCAGGCTCCCTCTACTACTGCCCTTCCCCAGCCAACAGACAGGTGCTCACTGCCCCGCCCTCATTAGGAACAGGGACACGCATGCAGGTGCACATTCGCTCTGCCACCTAAGAGACAAATGCGTTCTCTAGACATGCCCATTTAGCTGCTGGAATGGTGAGACTACTTGCACGAGGTGCAGCTGTACACATGACAAGAGGATGTGGCCCGACTTTAAAGAGCGAAGTGTAACTAGCAGGGAGACAATGTGCACACCAGCTGGAGTCCAGACAGAATGGGTCATCACGAGCCATCATCTCACAGCCTTCAGAAGGTGAGGAGTGAGAAGGGATGGAAGGAGGCCAGAAGGTGAAGGAGAATTAGCAGGAAGGACAATGGAGTTAGTGACTCAGACTGGCAACCCATGTGGTCCCCCTTTATTATTGATAGCACTTACACTGCATCCAGGACCTGGAGATAGGCAGGGGTTGGTTGGGGGAAGGTGTCAGGGATTGGGCCACTTACACAATTGTGGATTGGATGGATGTGTCTCTGGTCTCAGTTTAAGGAGAGTAACCTACTCTCACAGCTCCCATTCTGGTGAGGTTCTGAGGTCCTTCTGTGTGGGCCATGGGCCTTGGAGCTAGACTATTTCCTGATCTCCTCCTCTACACACTCCAATGAAAAATGAGCACTGTTCGCTTCGGCCCCCTCTCCCAAGAGCCCCTGAAGAGACATGCTGCCCCATCTTCTCCTAGAAACACATATAAGAAGGGCCTTGCCCCAAGTCTAAGCTACAATTCTACAGGAGATTTCCAGGACCTGGGAGACCTCAAGGCAGGTCCCAGCAAGGTGGGAAGCAGAGCCCCGCAGAGTCCTCCCTCCACCAAGCCTTGGTCTGGAGCCCCACAGTCGCTCTTCTGTGTCACAGTCCTCCGACTCCAGCCTGGGTCAGCCTCCAGCCCTGGCCCCAGCCTGTCGCCGGTCCAGAGCCAGCCGGAGGGCATGCTTCACGGTCTCCGCATTGTTCAGAACGTTGTATCGACTCAGAGCCACCAGCCGATCGAACTCCTCGGGCTCATAGGTGAAGTTTGTCATGCCATAGGGTGTGTCTGACCCATTGATGGCAAAATCTCCGCGGGCCTTCTCCTCAGCCGTTTGTCGCTCCACACCTGTGGGTGGGAATTGAAGAAGAGACTGGGCCAGTGTACTCTGTGGCTAGGAGCTGCCAGCCCAGATGCCTCCCTTGCCCTAGGCCATTTGGCTGGTTCTTTGTGGGCCCTGCCTAGGCAAACATCTCTGCTCTCTTGCCCATGAGGAGGAGCTGGGCCAGTGCCAATGCTCAGGTCTGGGAAGCAGAGGGCAGCATTGGCCAGCTCTGGCCCTCCAGGAGGCATGCCTTGCTACCTTGTCCAGGGCTACCGCTCTTAGAACAGAACCCCATCACCACCCTAGGGCTCTGTCGGCCAGACCCAGACTCTTAGAACAGAACCTCATCACCACCCTAGGGCTCTGTCGGCCAGACCCAGACTCTTAGAACAGAACCTCATCACCACCCTAGGGCTCTGTCGGCCAGACCCAGACTCAGGGCTTCCCCTCACCTGGGGCCAGGTGTGTGCGGAAGGTACGGTTGACGAGGGGGAAGTGCAGCACGATGGGTGAGCGAGGGTCCTCAGCCCTATCAAACAGGTAGCACTCACGGGGTTCCTCCAGGTCCTCAGGGAGCACCTCGACCCTGGGAAAGGGGATGCCTCGGTCCCGGCAGTACTTCTCTGTCATCTGTAAGACCTGGGCAGGGAGGCGGGCTTCTGACCCTGCGTGACTCCCACCTGGACTCACACAGGCCCAGGCTTCGGGGACAGCTCTGCCTCCTCCTACTCTTTCAGGCAGGTGACCTTGCCTTTCTGAGCCAGTTTCCTCGTTTATAAAATAAAAATGAGAATAACTTCCTGGTGGGGTGGTTGTGCGGATTAACCGTGATCACCAGCATTCCCACTGTGCTTCCTGCCTGTAACTAACTGCCTGCTGCTTCTCCCCTCCGGCCCTTCTCTGCTCCCTCTTGAAATCAGAAGGCTGATTTTAATTTCACAAGGTTGATGTCAAATGATTACAGAAGGTCACGTTGGAAAAGGCGTTATCCATCATCTAATCCCAGGCTTTCATTGGACCCAGGTGGAGGAGGAGGAGGCCAAGAGGGAAGAGCTGGCCCAACGGCACAACCATAACCCACATCCAAATGGTGAAGCCTGCCCACAGCCCCACAGGGTTTGAGGGAGCCACCATGAGAGACTTCCCAAGGGGACCCTAACAGCTCTGTTGTTACCACAATAACAAAGGGACAGCAGATCCAGACCCAGGCCCTGACCAGGGCCAGAAATGCTATCAGGAATAGGCAGGGTCCAGAACAGAGATCTTCTCTTCACCAGGATAGAAGACGCTTGAAGGTCCTCTTCGGCCTCTTCTCCCTACTCCCATTCCCTCCCACAACCCCAGCAATCCTCTCCTCCAACCGGTGAGACCAATGCCGCTTACAGTGTGCTCAAGGCGCCCCCCACAGATTAGCACCCAGGCCCTCCGTGGAGGGCCCTCCCGAAACACCCAGTCATGTCACCTCAGCAGAGAGCCCCACCCTTTACCTCAAAAGGGGCATCCAGGGAGTAGTCAAAGGACACAATGAGGTCCACCGCTCTCTGCGGCAGCAGGCTCAATGGGAATGGGGAGTTGAGCGCAAAGCCCCCATCCACCAGGTACAGGCAGTCCCTCATGGGAGTGAGCTCATTGGGGAAGGCGTCCGGGTGTGTGTCTGCACAAGGACAAATGCTTGCTCTTCTTAGCAACCCTCTTTTTTGCATGCGGAATGCTGCTCTCACTAGCCATCTCTGCTTCTTCCCCTCTCTGACAGCCACTCTGGGGCCTCCCACCACAGCCTCCAGCTCAGCACGGTCATCCCCCGCATCAGCCTCTGTGTAGCAGGAGCCCACACCTCAACCCCCAGGTCAAAAGGCAGCGCTGGCCCCAGTGAGCCAGAGGCACGCAGCAGGAGGCCCCCACCCAGAGCAGCACCCACCTTTCCAGGCCATGAACTCCCTGCCAGCCACATAGTCCTTGTGCAGGCAGAGGCCCTGGGTGAAGTTGAAGTTCTCCGCGGCGGTAAAGCGGGATGTGAATACGTCCAGCACAGCCTGGGAGAAGGGCCCCTGCCGAGTGAAGAGCTTTGTCCGCAGCCTGGTGGGGTCATGCAACTGGAGCTTCTGGCAGTCATCTAGTGGGAGTGGGACGGTGAAACACAGTGAGCAGTGGTACCCTCCTTTGTCCAGGGAGCCCCCTCCATCTTCTCTCTACATCCTTCCTCCTCCCCCACTGGCCTCCCAGGCCTCTGACCGTTGCTTCTTAGGACCTCTTTTAAATAACTTTTTCTTTCATGTTCCCCATGCTTTGAAAGTTGCCTATGACATTGCATTTATTAAATAATAGTATCACCCACCCTTAAAGTTGTATATATAATTTCCAATCGGAATTCCATCCATTAAACACCTACTGAGCAGTTGCTACGTGCTGGGCACTGTGTTAGGCACCAGGGATGCAAAGTGACTGGGGTCTGGCCCTAGCCCTCAGCACTCAAACCTACTTAGAAGAGAGTCACATAAAGAGAGGATGAATGGTAACAACGCCCTGAGGTAAGGACAATGACCGAGGTGACCTGCAGTCTTATAGGGCCCTCTGTAGTTATACCATCAATCAGCCTGGAGGGATGGAGTGGAATAGAAGCTCCCTGACGAAATGATGTCTCAGCTGAACATTAAGAGCTGAGCAAAAGTTATCCAGGGGAGAAAGGTAGGAAAGGTATTTCTGGCAGCAGGGGTGCTCACAGGCCCTTAAGGAGCGGGCTGAAGAGAAGCCTTGAGGTGTGTGGGTAAAGTATCAATCAGACAACCAGTGGTCCTGGGCGGAGTTGACCTAATTGGAGCCCAAGCAGAGATTTCAAAGATGTAGCCTGATCACAGAGCACTCACCACTCCCACTGGGTTTTCTGACGTGGGCCCTCCCCCAGGCCCTCACCCACATTGCCTCTGCAGAGAAATCATTTCCTCGACATGTCTGAACCCAATGGGACAGCCAAATCCTTCGCCATCCCCTTCCTCATTCTCCATGCCTCTGCCAGGACCCTATTGCTGGAAAGAAGCATGGAGGTGGGGGATCAGGGTCTGTCACCTCACCTGTGATGTTTACATGGCCTCGGTACCAGTCTAGGAAGCTGAGGCTGAACCCGGCAGTCTTCATGAAAATCTCATCCAGGCTGGCTGCAAAGGCACTGCCCCACATGCCTAAGGAGACAGGCAAGGCCAGGGCCCTCACAACTCCTTCCCCCATATCAGGGCCTGGCCCAGTGCATGTCCTGTCCCCAGCCCTCCATCCTACACTCACCCTGCAAGTAGCAGATCCGGGGCTCTGGCCAGAGCTTCAGCAGTCGCCCCATGAAGAACTCAGAGCCAAAGAGCTTGGTGGGAATATAAGCCCCATACTTGGGAAAGCCGATCTCATGGGGGGTGAACTCGCACCACTCTGGGGGCCCAGAGTAAAGAAAATGTCATCAGGGGCTTCCCACTAGGACTCCAGGGTTCTCCCTGGCCCTTGTGCCTGAGCAGGAATCTTTGCCTTGCCAAGAGCAGGAGGCAGCAACCCCACTGTACTCCAAGGCTCCCACCCATACCCTGATAGCCTGGCCTCTTATGCTCTCCACCAACCATTGCCTCCACCTTCTTTCTAGGCCCACACACTCAAGCACCTGCAAAGTCTTCCCCACTGATGTTGGTACGGACGTTGATGCTGGCGTAGATGGGATAAGGGTTCTGGCCCTGGCTGATTGCCTCCTGCTGGTCAGACAGTTTGGCAGGGTTTTCCTGGGCAGGAAAGAAGGGAAGACGCTTGGCTTTGTGGGAGTTCCCTTTTCCCATCCCAATGCTGAGGTCTGCACCCTGCAAGGTGTGTCATGCCCACAAGACTGTCGTTGTCAAGGCCAGTGCTCTAGGGACAGCTCTCCAAGGGAGAGAAAGGCTTTAGTCTGCAGCAGAGGTAAGGCCACTTTGGGTTTTGTGCAATTCCAGGGGCATTGGGAACACGGCTCCGTCCCCGGTTCATGCCAGGACTGCATGTTCTAGGAACAGCCACCAGGTACCGTGAGTCATGGCCACTTGGCCAATGGGCAGGAACGGTGCTCTGCCTCAGCCGGAGGCTGGAATCACTTGGAACACTTTCAAAACACATCTATATTAGTGCTCGACCCACAACCAAAGCAGTATCTCTGGAAGTGGGGCCCAGGCATGGGGTGTTTTGAAAAGCTGCACAGGTGTCCCAATATGCAGGCAGCCCTTAGAACTGCAGACCAACCTCTCCTACCACAGGGATTTAGGATACAGGAAAGATGAAGGGGTGTCAGACCCCCAGGTTGCTCAGACCAAAAGGGTAGTTTTGCAACTCTCAGATCTTAGCATAGTGGCTAAGGCAGAACTAAGTGCTAGTGGGGCAGGGGTGGAGCCATGTTTGTTTGTTACCTGCTCTTCTCTTACCTCCTGGTACAGGAAATATTCAATGAGGAGGCCCCAGAGGTCGATGAGGGAAACGCTGTGACCGCTGCTTTCCAGGTTCCCCAGTTCCTGGGCATAGTATTGTAGACGCTCCGTGGATACTGCCCCCATCTTACTGCTGCAGACCCGAGCCCGGGCACGCTCAGTGGGGCCCTGCAAAGCCACCTGGGACCAGGCTGGGTCCTTGTAGAGTGTGGAGATGCACCTGGACATGGAGAGAATTGGGGCAGTTAGGGGCAAGGGAGCACAACAAAAGGAGAGAGGGATGCAGATGTCTGTGAATGATCCCTCCTCCCCTATCACTTGTATCCACTGCCCTACGCCACCTATTCAAGGGCTCCCTGGGAACTCGGTCCCTTCCTGTCCCCGCTAATCCCCTTGGATGAGGAGTCCTCCCCACCCCCACCAGACCACCAGGTAACACCCTTGCCCCTTCAGGGCTCTCCTTTACTCTGTACCCTGCCCCCACCTCACTTACCAGGTGGACCCAGAGACCCCTTTCAAGTAGGTCACAGTGTCCAAGAGGCCAAGCTCCTGCAGCCCTGCCAGGCTGCCATACAGGGAAGACATGGCACGGGTTCCACCTCCCGAACCCAGCACAGCCACCACAGGTACCTGGGCACAGTAATAATCATGATAACAACATTTACCACCACTGCCATTTATATATTATTGCTTATAATGTCAGACATTGGTCTAAGAGCCTTACATGTATTACCTCAATGAATCCTCATAGCAGCCCCATGAGATTCCCATTTTACAGATGAGGGAACTGAGGCACAGGAAGGTTAGATACTGTGCCTGCAGTCATACAGTTAGTAAGTGATGGGCTGGCAATCTGAAGCAGTACATCTCCAGAGATGGCTCTTAATCATTATACCAGGAAAGGATGTACCTCCAAGCTATACTAGATTCACCCAAAACAGCTAAAGCAGGGTTTCTCAATCTCGACAACACTAATAATTTTAGACTAGATAATTTTTTGTTAGGAGGAGTTGTCCTGTGTGTTGTAGGTTGTTTAGCAGCATTCCTGGCCTCTACCCAGCAGATGGCAGTAGCATCCCTTTTCCCCTCCCTCAGTTGTGACAACGTAATATGTATCTAGACATTGACAAATGTCCCGGGGGAGGGGGTGGGGGTGAAATTACCCCCAGTTGAGAACTACTGAGCTAAGATGACGAAGACCACTGAGCAGCCTGGACCTGCCCCCAACGTGAGAGGTGCCCAGAGATGGGATCAGATTAGAAGCTTTTCGGTTGCTCAGCTTTTCCATTGAAGGTTTTACTTATTTCACCCAGATTTTTTTAGTGCTTTTTCCTGTCCTCCTTTCTTCTCCTGTCTTGAAAAAAATGCTCCCTGGCCACTGTCCATCAAGGACACTGTCCCTTCAGAGTCCTGGAAGAGACAGAGCTTCCAGTAGGCAGGATCTGTGCCCTCTTTACCCTCCACCTACAGAGTGGAGATTGGCACAGAGTAAGCAGTACCCAAATAAACAATCTAGGCTTGCTCAGCTTGTCACTACTGGGCACAGGCTCCATCTCCTGAGTACACTTGCAGCCAGGAGGAAGCCACCAATCTGTACCATAGGTCTCACCCTCAGAACTGCCTTTTCTCCTGTCTCCTCACCAGAGGATCCCATGGACCCACCACTTCCAGACCCCTTTGTCTGCTGTTATGAACAGAATTATGACCCTCCCCCTGCCGAGCCCATTCATGTGTTGAAGCCCCAATACCACTAGTGGTGAGGAAAGAGTAAAGTTAGGGAAAAATTAATGGGGTTTCTTCTCAGCCTTACTACTAATTATTAACAGAGCCTGAAGCTTGAGGAAAAACAATAAATGTAAACTTCTAAACTTCCCTGTAACTCTGTGTTAGACATTGTACAGCTTATCATCAGCACAGAACATGTCAGTGCATGGGCTCCAGTTAAGCATAAGACCTCCTCGCAGAAAACATCTGTGACCAGACTTCCTGATGCTCCACTTGAAAACCACCTGAAATCCATCATCAAAATTATCGATACTAGTTAATCAACATAAAAGACCAATCAAATAGCTAAGAATGCAGGGCTCCATTCTCTTATGATTCAGTTACATCATAAAAGAAAATGATTTTTCTTTGTTCCGCAGAACATTTCTAGATTTATTTCTAGTTATTTTTCTTTTGCAAACTCTAGGACCCTTGAATAAATCTATGTCATTTATTTCTAGCCAGCGTTTCCTGATTCTTTTTGATTACACTCAACGCTATTTGGAGAAAGGGCCTATAAGGAAGTAATACAGGTATGTGAGGTCATAAGGGTGGGGCCCTAATCTAATAAGACTTGCATCCTTGTGAGAGGAAGAGAGAGTGATTGCCCCCTCCCCCAGCCCTTGCACATGCACAGAGGAAAGGCCTTGTGAGGACACAGCAAGGTGGTCATTTACAAGTCAGGAGGAGAAGCACCACCAGAAACCTCCTCTGATGGCACCTGGATCTTGAACTTCCAGCCTCCAGGTGAGACAATAAATGTTTGTTGTTTAAGCCCTCAGTCTGGCGTTCTGTTCTGGCAGCCCAAGCTGACCAATTCAGCTCCCTAGGCCAGAGCTATTCAGCCCTCATTACATACTGGGTTCTGACTCCCACAATTGTACCCATGAACTCAGGCAAATAGGCCTGCCCCCTTCCTCCTCTACTCCCCAAGCTCCCTCTTGGCTTTATACCACCTCTTAGCCATTCAGTCCTCTCAAGGTAAAGGCCAGATTTAGTCCCAGCTACGCTGGGGTCCGGCTCCCTCCATTCCATACCTGGCCACTGTCAGGAGCCTGGCTCAGTCCCAGCACCTGCTGCAAAGCTTTAGACACGATCTGCTTCCTCTTGTCCAGAAACTTCCGTTCTCCATCACAGAGGTCAAAGCCAAGGCGCAGGTCAAGGTCTCCAGAGCTGCCTCAGGTGGCGGGGGAGGGGGGGGCGGCGGGGGAGTGACTGTTCAGTGGAGGAGAGCCTCAGGCCAAGCCCATTTTTGACAGGAGCAGACCCACACTCTGTGGAACCCCTCAGAAAGGTCCCACCAGAACCAGAAACGCCCAGTCCTCCCCACCCCCAGATAAGCTGAGTAGGTAGGAGAGCCCCCACGCTTCCAGCCCAGCCTAAGAGCCTTCCTCTTGAAGCGTGCCTTCCTCACCTCATTTCTGCCTTCACATTCAGAGTTACCTCCTGGCCCTGAAAGACAACAGCCATCCCTGAGCCCTCTGGGCAGGGTCCTCCCACCTGCGGCCCCTGCTGCTCTGGTAACTCTGGCCCAGATGTGGACCATGGCCGAACTCCTGGCTGGTCTGATCTTGACTACCCTCTCAGACCGCTCCCCCAGACCTGTTTTGGTGGTCACAAAGCAGGCAGGGGTCCCTGAGGCACCCAGACAGAGCCTTACCTCCCCCAGGGCCACCAAGCGCTGCTCCTCCTGGCCTAGGGCCAGAGAAGAGAGCAGGATGCCCCCCTCTCCCAGCTTGCTGCTCTGGGCCTCCAACTCAGCACTTGGGTCACTCTGTAGGGAAGAAAACACTATGAAGCCCCTGGAGTGGAGGAAATCTGCCTGCACTGAGGCCCCGGAGCACTGCTCAGGCAGGACTGAGTCTATCATCCACCTCTTCCAGGCTCTGGGCTCACTTACCTGCAGGACCATGAGCTTCTCCCCCAGCTCCACATCCAGTTTGGAGTGCAGCACTGGATTCACATGGAAGGTAAAAGTGGCTGGGGAGTCTGCTTCTAAGGGAGGCTGCAGGGGCAAGAGCTGTGGCTTCTCGTAGGCCCCCGGCACTGCCAACCGAATCTGCCTAGAGCCTGGGAGCAGAGGGCCTGGATGAGTGCCCAAGTGAGGGATAAGAGCAAGTGCGTGCGTGCGTGCGTGCATGTGATGATGATCATAATGATGATGGTAGCACCTCTAACTAGCAACTCCCCTTTCTCTGGCACTGTGACCCATAACAGAGGCATCACGAAGGATACTTGGGGTCCTATAACCTGCCCTGGTCAGAACTGGGGACCTGGGGGAGAGTGGGAAACACACAATACCTAGGGGAGGAGGAAAGGCAGGGAAGGAGAGAGCTCCCTGCCCAGAGCTTATGGGGATGATTTTGAGATTATTATATTAAATATATAAAATATCCTATAAAAATTATAAGTATCATATATTATTACATTAATTACCAGTTTTCCATTGGTAGTTCCCCCGTCTCTTGCCCCCATTCAAGCTCTGTGTTCATCACCTTGGGGGAGGTTTGTGGCCAGGCCACAAGTTGTTCTGGCCTTTGTTTCCAAAGCCTAAGGCCTTGGGAGAACACAGAGGGTTTGCAGAGAAGACAAAAGGAAGAGGGCACAGAAAGTATAGGTGGCTTGGAAAAGCAAGGGAGAGCCAGCCCAGGTTAGCAGGTGAGGTCAGGCTGGGAGGAGGTGAAGAGAGAGGCCTGTGGCCCAGGAGCAGCAGGGCTCACCCTGTTCCTAGCAGTGTTTCGGGGAGGAGGCAAGACCCCAGAGAGAAATGGCTATGCATGATGCCCAGGCAGAGGGGACACCAGCCCCCAAACACCTCAGGAGCAGAGAGGTCCAAACAAAATTCCTCTCCCTACACATGCTCCTTGGCACTAAACGAGACCTGGAGACTTGACATGACCTAGGGGGAGAGAATTAGAGAAAATAAGGAAAGTGATACTTCTTTAATACCATGGTTTATGGACTAGTTGATATGCATTGTTCATCGTCAGAAAAAAAACGAATCTGTGGTGGAGAAAGCAAATACCCTAGAGTGTCACAGACCTGCGTGTGGTCCTTCGTGACCTTAAGCAAGTTTCTTCTTTGAGCCTCAGTCTCATGAATTAAAAGAAGATAGTGACCATACCTACTGTATGGGGTCGTTATGAGGAGTAAACAATAAAACACATGACAAACGCTAAGCATAGTGCCTGACTCACAGTAAGTAGTCCATGTCACCTGGGCAGGACTCATCCTGTAGGCTTGGCCTCTCAGCCTCTCAGCGTTGAAGGGTGCCCTGCCTGTCACACAGCCTCTGCTCCACTCCTGCATCTGGATGCCCCCTCCTGAGTGGCTGCCCTCTGTGGCACATGCATTGGTGGACTTGATTCTTCACTTCTCTTAGAATTCTCAGTATTTGCCATGTGACTTCAGCTCTTCCCATTAAGAGGCTGGCTAAATTCCCTGCCCTCCAACTTTAGGGTCTTGGGTCTGTTTTATCAACACAATGTTGACCAAAGACTTGCAAAAGCACTTGCTCCTTTGGACTTGCTGCTCTCTTGCACCTCTGCCAATGCCCTGGAAACATGCCCAGGCTAGTCCACTGGGCACAAAAGGTACATGAGAGACACACAGTGCAGAGCCAGGCACTCCTGCCAAGCCCAGCCTAGATTAGCCACACTACAGTTCACCACCAGATGTGTGAGCTAGATAAATGTTTCCTGTTGTCTGCCACTGAGATTTGGAGGTGTTTTTTATGGAGCAGTAGTTGGAATGATACAACTTCTATGCTTGAATACTTCCAGGGACAAGAAATTCACTACTTCCAGGGGCAATCTGTTCTATCCTTGGTTAGCTTTAAGCAGTGAAAATTAAGAACTTTCTGTCCTACATCCATCTTCTTGAAGTCAGCAGCCGCCCCACCCCCTAGGAGATAAGGCAAGACTCAAGGCCACTGGCCAGACTCACCATACTCTTGATGTGGGGCTGTTGCATCTCCCCCAAGCATGCCCTGGATTCTCAGACAGGGATGAGCCTGAGGAAAGCAGAGGCCTATGGGAGACAGATAGTCATAGGGCCCAAAGTAGGAGGAAGGAGAGAAGGGGTATCTGGGGCATGGTCAAGATAACAACCTTCCCAGGGCCTGTGCCTATAGGCAGAGGTCTTCTGTAGCAGCCTCCACTCCCAGGACTCAGAAGAAGTGGCCCCAAGTGGGAAAGGGGGAGGAGGTAAGGAGCCATGAGAGTGGCTCCTTCAGCTGTCTCAGAAGCCAGGGTCCCAAGTGAGTGATGTACTGTGCACAGGTGGGAAGGTTGGCTTCTGGGCCATCCACTCAGGCGTGAAGCCTCCCCCGGCATATCTCCACTCTGAGGAGGAGCTGACTGTGCTTTAGAGGCAGGTGGGTATGCTGGACTCAATCATGGACTCCTCACTGGCCCCCAGCCCTAGGCAGTCCCAAGCTGGCCTTTTCTACTTACCACCAGGACACCATTGGTGATGACTTCAGATGCAGGTACCTGGCTGCAAAGGATGAGGGGTCCATGGAGTATCTGGCTCCCTCAAGGTGGCTGTTACTATATTAAGGTGACCAAAGCAATTGGAAGAGCCTGGGGAGCAGGGCAGAGCTTGGGGGTCGGGGTGAGTATCGGCCAACACACAAATGGATGTCAAGACCAGGACATTCCCTCGCAGGCCAGACCAGGGCAGGACCTGGTAACCAACCACTGGGAGCTGTCCATGAGTTTCAGAGTACATGAGAGGGTACAGGCCCTACCTGGACTCACCTGTTCTCCAGAACAAACTCCACCTGCAGCTCTTGTGAATCCTACGTGGAAGGAGCAAGGGAGCACCAGTTTCCAAAGAGCTCCAAAAGCCTCAGGAACTGTCCCCACCCCCAACCCTGCTCAGCTCCAGGGACTAGAGGAAGAAACTGTTGTGTGGCTTTTCATTGGCACAGGAGGGGTAGTGGCATCTCAATGAAGAAATTCATCTCCAAAATTGTGTGTGGATGCTGTTCTAGACACTGAGGATTTAGCGATGACCAAGACAGAGTACTCTGCCCTCAAGGAGCTCACGTGTTGGCTCTCTTCAGGGCAGTATTTGAGGGACACCTTGGTAGGATCAGTGGTACAGGATGGCGGGTCTGTCTTGGAGACCTGGCCTGTGCTGACCGGGAGACCCCTCCTCAGTGCCCTGTGCTGGGCCTCCTCTCCTTGAGCTTGGCTCATTGCTGGCATGGGTGGGGTGGCTCACCTGTCGGTTAAGTGGGAAGATATGTCTGTGGGGTTGGCCAGGCTTGAGACTCTTCAGGTCAAACAGCAGCAGGGAGAGCTCATCGCTGCCCAGGATGTCCTTGTCACAGAGGGTGAGCTCCAGGACATTCTGGAGACAAGGCAGGCAGGAGGTGGGAGCCTGAGTCAGGGCAGGCACCCCGGAGGAGCCTTCTTCCTCCACCACCCCAGACCCATGCTGGCCCTTACCTTCACAGAGGCATGTATCTGGTAGTGGAAGGTCTCGTTCCACTCAGGGTCACTGCAGTTGGCCACCATCTTTGTCTGGGCACGGCTGGGGGATGCCGTGGGCAGCCACAGTTGCACATAGCAGTCAGCTTTGGACACTGCAGGCAGGATAGGGGAGGGGTCCTAGCTTCAAGCTCTTACTGCTGAAAAGCTTTCCTGGAGGAGGCTGGGGTCGAAGCAGAAAGAGCAGTGCCAGGAGGGAATGCTGCCCAGGTGGCAGAGTGGGGTGGGGAGAGCAGGGGAAAGCCCTGTCCTTAACTCCATCTCCACCAGTTACACCTCCCATTTAACTGAATGAAAACCCTGCAGTGGCTAATTGAAAAGATCACATGGCATCACAGACCATTGAATAAGCCCCAGAAAGGGCCTGATTCAGGTGACAAACTCCCCTCCTAGTGTGAGTGTCGGCACAAAGAGCTCCTGGACTGTAGACATTGACTTCCGGCAACAGCAGGTCTCACATGCTCTCCCCAGGCTGGCTCTGCTTCACTTGCTAGACTCAGAGGAGAGTTAAGGGTCTGCACAGTGCTCCCCTCCAGCACCTGCCTGCCAGCTCTGGGGCTGCAGCCTGGCCTCCCTCACCAGAGAGGCCTTCCTCCACAATCAGCACCAGCCCCTCTACCCAACTCCAAATACATACACACCCACACAACTTCAAGCCAGCTCCTGGCTGAGCTCTGTGGAGGCCCCAGGGAAGAGGAAAAGGGATGGAATTGGGGGGTCACTCACGCAGGTCTGTGCCCTGGATATTTCTGGCCCTCAGCACCTTCACCTGGAGGTCATAGTATGGGTGGGTTTCCCGCTGAAACAATAGAACTCGGGAACTCAGTTCTAGGACGATGAGGGGCCTGATCTTCCTGCAGTGATGCCAGTTCAGGTTTCCCTCATCCTGTCATGGAGCAGCAGCCTGGCCCAAGATCACAGATATTGCTGTGCCTGGGACCTAAGATGCGTTGGCAGGGCAGGTCTTGAGAGTTCAGCACGTTGGTAGTAAGCCTGGTCCTTAGAATCAGTTAGGCTGGCTTCAAATCTAAGCTCCACCAAGGACTAGCTGAATAGCCTGAGGCAAGTTATTTGATTTCCATATGATTCAGTTTTCCCATCTATAAAATGGAGATTATGATGATAATTTCATAGGCTTGTGGTGCGATTTCAATGAGAAGTCCTATAAAGGGCCTGGCCTAAGAACTTAAGACATGTATCCACTTTTACTAATTATGCTTATCATGCACCACAAACTTGCACCTGCCCTCAGACCACAGTGCTACTGTTGTCACTTAAGAGTTGCTGTGCTTAAACAGATTAAATATTAGAAGAGAAAGCTGAGATCAACCCCACCCATTAGCTCCCTGACAAAGAGGGTAGATGGCTTAGGAGGAGGGCAGGTAAAAGTAAACCAAGAGTCATTCAGCTTGTACTGGTCTAACGAGTTGCTAAGGAGGCTACAGCTTGGACTCAAGAGCAATAACAGCAGACTGCAGACTCCTGGGAGTGAGATTATCCCAGGAAGTTTGGGACAAAACCCAGCCAGCTGCAAGTGTCACATGACTTTGCCTTTTCGGGGAATTATTTTTAAGAGCCAAGATTTTGGCTGACCTCTCTAAGCTCCACCAGGTTGTCTGAAGCATATTGGTTCCACCCCAGGCCAAAACCCAATTCTTCCCCTGCCCCCCTTCCCACAGCTGGTCTCAGTCTTCACAGGGAACTACGCTCCTAGGACCCCTCCAGTCCACACGCTTCCCAGGGAAGATCAGGTACTTTACCTGCCAGTGACTCCACTGAGATCCCCTCTTCTCTCTCTTCCGCAGCAGCATTACCCCCAGGAGGGGCAGCCCCTTGCCTGCCAGCCACCTAGGCCAAAACGCCCAGAGCATGGCCGGACAGCCCACGTCCCAGCAGGAAACCCTGCCTGCTATCCAGAGCCTCCCACTGTCTTCTGGGTACACTGACTGCTAACTCAGGTCTGACAGGTAGCACTGGGGTGGGGAGGGTGGAGCTAGATGCTTGCAGAAGACTCAGGGCGTGTGTGCCCTAGAGGCTGGAGGTGGGGTTTGACATACTCCAGGAAGCGACTGGAGCCCAATTTCCTCAGGGAGGAGACATTTCAGTCTCTCACCAAGAGGACGAGGAACTGGCATTCTGCTACCCAATCGCAGCCCGATTATCACTAGGCTGTTAATGGAAAATAGATATGTGAGCCTCACACCCCAGATGATTTGATTTAGTGAGGGTGGGTAGAATCCAGGTATTCATGTTTCCAAGAAACCTTCTAGACTAGGGGTCCCCACCCCTGGGCCGTAGACAGGTACTGGTCCATGGCCTGTTAGGAACCAGGCCGCACAGTAGGAGGTAAGCATCAGGTAAGCGAGAAAAGCTTCATCTATATTTGCAGCTGCTCCCCAGCACTAGTATCACCACTTCAGCTCCACCTCAGATCATCAGACATTAGAATCTCATAGGAACACCGGTCCCTGGTTCCAAAAATGTTGGGGACCACTGTTCTAGATGATGCTGACAGCGGCCCAGGGAATAGCAGCCAGGAAGTGCAGCTCAGGGGTCCAGTCTCCTCCAGCCATCAAAAAAAGCCCCAAACCAATGCCCTTCAAGTTCCACCTTCCCCACAGCTCTGAAGCAGCAGCATAGAAATCTCTGGTTCAGTGATCTGGACTCAAAGCTGTTTCTCATCTCTCCTGGCCTCCCTCATTTGTTCTCCAAACACTGAGAGGCTGCACCAGGCCTTGGAACCAAAGGTGAGGACAAGGGCTCATCTGTATCCTCAAGAAATTCGCAGCTCATGACTCCCTGTGGCTTCTCCCTCAGTCCTCTTCCTGGATCAGTGGAAATACTTGGATGGTCTAGGTATAGAGGAATATGGTTAGGTGGTATTGGTAAGGGCAGGTAAAAAGCAGATGTCAGCCCTTAAGCTACTAGAGATAAAGGCTTTAAAGTCCTCTGTTGACCTTGTAAGCCTCAGGTTACTAGAGATAAAGGCTTTAAAGTCCTCTGTTGACCATTGTAAGCCTCAGGTTGAAGATGATATGTGATGTCCCCATTTCTGTGGACCATGACCATCTAGGTGGCCAAGACAGGCACAGTCTCCAGAAGAAAGTGTCTCTGGGCCAGGGAGCTGTTGGGAGACACATTTCTGTTCCTCAACTAAGACCCAGTCATCTCCACTCTCCTCCCCAAGGCGAAGTGGAGACTGAAAAAAATAATGTCCAGAAAAAGAGGTGATTCAACTTCAAAATGAACCCTGTAGACAAGTTCAGACCAGAAACTCCCAGAACAAAAGAGAATATGGTGGCCCTTTGCTGGACCCCAAGGGAAGGACCTGCTTCTACTTAATTTGAAGCATGAAGCCAAGGCCTGTGCTGGGGTCTCACAAAGGTCAGAGTCTAACCCCTTTGGTGACATTAATGTGGCACGTGTAGAACACCCATGGATCCACAGTACAGGAGCCTGAGGGAAGGGCACGGAGTTAGGTGGCCTGGTGTACAGACATCCTGACTGATTTGAGTGCTTTCTGGGTTGTACCACACTCTCCCCTGGAAGTCACTTGCCCATACCTCAGTAAGAGTATGCTTCTTAGTTCCTGATGTTTTTCATTCCCAGAGAAATCTCAAGATGGCCACAGATGGCTCAAGAAGGGGATACAGGACCAAATGACCCTTTTTGGAGCTGACCAAAATGGAACATCACTTCTCCACTTTTCAAACATCCCTGGGTCTGTCAATCCCACTGAATCCATAACCCTTTCATGCCCCTCCTAGTTATCATGAGCTGCGGGAAGAGACACAAGTCCCTGCGATTAGCCAGGGTTCCAGTGGGTCCACAATTCTGTGATGCCAGAAATGTTCTGTACTTCTGCTGCCAATACATCAGCCACACCACCTGTGCTGGACCGCACAGATTGAGACATACATAACAGATGCTGTACATTTTTTTTCACAGTCGCTAATTGACTTACTCTTATTAATTCTTACCTTATGGTTTTCATCAAACTCCACAGGAAGGGGGAAAAAAGAGACCCAGATAGACTTGGTTTCTTACTTTATGATGTTTATTATAAGAGATCTTCATTAGTCCTCATTACAGACTTTCATCTCCAGCCTTCTCTACATCACCACAGAGGGCAAAGATAGTCTAGGGAAGGAAGACTGGAATTCAAGAAAACTGGGCTGTTTATGTATTCCAGAAGGGAAGAAAACACGCATACTTTATTCTATTGCTTCAAATTGATGTGCCACACAGGTAGTGAAAATGGGAGATACAAACATAACAGGCCGGAAAGCAAGGCTTGCGTGGTGGAGTGTTTCTGCTGCACGGTGGAGGGCCAGTCAGAGATTTTCTGGCTACTCCCAGAAGAAGTTTGGTCCGAGCTGGCACAAACTGGGCCAAGAGCAACACTGCTTCTAGTGGGCGGGTATGGCCAGCTAAGATGGTGGCTCTTGTAAAGCACTGCTCGGCCTCCAAAACCTGAGCAGAATCCCCCATCTCCATGAACAGGTGCTGATGGTACTCCTTCTGTCCCTTCAGATCTTCCACAGAGAAGCCTAGTCTACCAGCAAGTTAGTCTACAGCACAGCACTGCAGTTTAAAAAGGATCACATCATGTCACAGTCCACTAAAACAGTGTCAATGTTGGGCACCGTTACTCACCCTCACTACCATTAAAGACACTGAGGCAATAAGACTGCAAGTCTGCAAAATCCCAAGGAGGACCTCTGCAGGGCCACTCTCGCCGCCTGTCCTCAACCTGCAGTGCTAAACGCTCCTCCTACGTGTCTCTAGGGTGCTCTGTGGCAGGCGGGGTCTCCCACACCACACACACAGTGTCAGCGGATTTAGCAGTGAGGTCTTTATAAACCCATGTGCTGCTGTTCCTGCCTCCTGCAGCACTCTCACTGTCACGAATACCTCACGAGTATGCTTGACAACATGTCAGTGCCTGACCTGACCATTCCCTGTGTGTAGCAGAGATCCAGCTACCTACAAAATCCCAGCACGATCCTCCAACCTCCGCAAAACAAAGCTGGAGAATGACGGCCAGGCCAAGCTGTAAGGTAAGTGGATGACACTGGCTACAAAAACAAAGCACTCACTTACAAAGGCTAAACCAAAATGCCCTGGGCTCCTCCAACCTCCGCAAAACAAAGCTGGAGAATGACAGCCAGGCCAAGCTGTAAGTTAAGTGGATGACACTGGCTACAAAAACAAAGCGCTCACAAAGGCTAAACCAAAATGCCCTGGGTGGCTGGTGGGTGAACCAGGAGCAGGAGCCTCTGCAGGCAGCTGCCTAAGAGGTCATACACCCAGTATGGTGCTGTCCATCCTTAGAGCTAGTGTCACACTTGGCCCAGAGGGGAGGTGCACAGGGCCTTTCTTAGGCTGAGAATGACGCTCTCCTAGGCTTCGAGGCATAGAGCAGACAGTTCAAGGAGGATCTATTTACAACATACCTGACAATCGGTTATCAATGTATTCCTAGAAAATGGGACTTCCTCTTGCTTCTTGCTTTGCCTTAAATATTACTAATTCATGGTATCAGGAAAATGGGAAACAAAGCCAAGGTGGAGCAGTGAGGGGAGAGATACAGGAAGAAATTAGTGAGAAAGAAAAGGAGACAGGAAAATAAAGAGATGAGTGGGGAGGTTCTTGGGAGAACACAGGTTACAGTAACCATGGAAAAATGACTGTCATTACCTACGGAACCAGCATTTGACCTTTGCAGCTAGAGAAGCTCTCGTATTACTCTCTTCTCATGGACTCCACCAGCTGTGCTGAGGGCTTCTTGTAAAGTCCTGTGTGTGTCTTAATAGAAAACTGAATAAACAACCCTGGGGTTACAAAAGCTTGACACAGTTTCCTTATTCAAGTGATTGGTATGCAAAGGCAAGACGGTGCCCATCGCTACCTCCTCCTATCCAAGCAGGTATTAAATTCTCTGGAATTGCCTGCAACATAATGGTATATAAAGTATAACTAATCTCTTTTTCTATTAAAAAGCCAGTGACACCAAATCACAAGTCTGAGAAATTCAGAGATGTTCCAGGGCGCAAGATAGCCAGTAGTGTCCAAATGGGGAGATACCCGGTGGTGGCAACAGCCCTGATTCCTAAGGTGGGTGCCTTTTCCCCTCTCTGGGATGGCCGAGCTGTCCATCTGCTGAATCCTGGGCATGCTGGGCTCAGGTGTCCGCCGGGTTCACCTCTTTGGAACAGAAGTAGTGCACGACCACTCCATTGGGGTATCTTGCAAATGCACTGCAGGAAAGGCAAATAACTCAGGAGTGAGGACTGCCCCTAAGAGGCTGCTTCTTACCTGGACAAGGCACCTTACCTGGCAGCCAGCCCAATAGCACCCACCCTCCCCACAAAGAGTAGCCTGCACCTAGGATCTCTGGATTTACAGAGACACCATCTCTGTCCAATAAAAAACGGAGAATGAGGTCCATGTAATTTGGGTGCATGGGGATATTTCTTGTTAAGTCATCAATGTGAAACGTATGGGCAGATGGGGCAGTACGCAGGCCTGACTCAGCATCAGCTTATTGAGAGCCGACGATGCTCCTCAGGACAAGTTTCAGGCTAATTCTAACAAATGACAGAGAGGTCTCTCTAAAGAAAAGGATTCTTCCAGCCATGTAAGAAAAAGGACAAAACACTCTCTTTTGAAGGAAAGGGGACTGAGTAGAGCATATGCCTTAAAGCAGTATGATCCTGGCTCAGGATTTTACTCAAATCATGAGGTAGCAAGCTAAAAGATCTTTTTCTTCTTTCAAAGGTGCATCCTTAAAAAATAAAGACTTCTTTCCACACACAACTCACACACCCACTGGCTACATCCCAGTTTCTAGCTGCCAGAGAAGGGCTTTATGGGCAAGAAGTCAACAGTCCCAAGCCATACATTTCAGGTCTTTAAATTCTCAAAGCCCATCCCCAAGAGATGACATGGACTGCTCTATGGGGCCTCGAGAACTAAATGTGCCCAGGAGAGTCAACAGCCGTGCTTCCTCCTTGGGTTAAAGTGCAAACTATATCCTGAGTATGACCCACCCCAGGGCACACCCTGCAGAGCTGCGGAGGACACTCACCTGTTCCCAATCTTCTTCTTACACACCATGCACACCTTCTCCTCCGTGATGATGCACTTCATTTTTTCCTGGACCTGGGAGGGCAGAGAGGTCAGGGGAGAAGTCCTATGGTCCCACCCTGCAGAGATGCCTCTAACTGAAACGCTTGCAACTAAACGTCAAGTTGTTTAAGTTGTTTTCAAGGAACACAGAGCTTTGCTTTTGACTAAAGGAACATGTGGTAACTGTCTCATACTAAAAAGCACCAGCCCAACCTAGGGTTTGCAAGGCTCATACCCTCAGGAACTCTGCATGGAGAAGGTTCTTGAGCACTTGATTGAAGCGTTTCTTTTGCGCATTTTCTTCCAAGACTTTTTCCAGAAAGATGCGTATGTCATTAATCTGAGTGTTTGCTGGCAGAAGGTTGAGGGCCTAGGGACAGGAATAGAGATGGAAACAGGGTGAGGCGGGACAGAAGTGAGACAGAGGAAATGGCTAAAGCCGCAGGGATTGCGAACCCCAGATCCTTTCTCTGTCCTCTCTTCTCCTTCAACGCTCCCCGCAAGTGCCCTACATTTCTCCGGGAAGAACTGACCTTGGTGGTGTCCAGTTTGCTGTGGTGTAGCTCAAGGACCTGCAGGGCAGCCTGGAGGTTGGCTTGTGGCTCCAGCGGTTCCAGTTTGATTGGCCCCAGGCAGTGAACACTGGGGGGCGATAGATACATCCGGAGCAGGGACAGATACACCTGTCTCACACAGGTACAAGCCACACACATCAGGCGGGCAGCAACCCTCCCAGAACCTCTCACAGCATGGCCACAAGTAAAGCTAAGAGGGTTGGTTGGTCTATAGTAACAGCTGTCATGGAGCATTTAAAAAACTCATCATTTTCACCTTTTAAAAGATCTCGGTAGAGTCAAACAGTCAAATGAAGGTATTAAAATTAAGGATTGTGGTTTCTCTGAGAGAAAAAAACAAATAATTTGTATTTGTTAACTGCTGACAAATTGCCAACACTGCAGAATGACTCAAATAGCTCCCTCAATTCCTTTGCTTTGAAGGCTGAGACCGTTACATGTTTTGACAGGTAAGGATTAAGCCAAGAGAAGACTTTTCCTACTGGTGGTACCAGTACCACAGGGTTTCTCAACCTCAGTGCTCCACATTTTAAGCCAGATAATTCTTTGTTGGAGCTGTCCTGTGTATTGTTTAGCAGCAACTCTGGCTTCTTCCTCCTAGATTCCAGTAGCACTCCCACCCCCAGTCATGGCAATCAAAGATGTCTCCAGACATTGACAAATCCACATGCAGTGTAGACAGATATGAGAACTTATCAGGACCATCAGATATTCCTTCTCCACAAGCTGACCACATAATTTATCATAAAGTCAGGACTCTCATTCTGAGAGTAAAGGGGTAAAGGGCGCTGCTCATAATCACACGGATGACAACACATTAAGCCAGAATGATGCCAAGCAATCCAGGACAAATGGCCACCCTGCCTCTCCCTCAATATGCACAGGCAAAATCAATCAGTACATTGGCTCTGTCTCATCTTAGCAATTTATACGAGTGTCACTTGTAGACAAACCAGAGCAGGTTAGAAATGCTAAGGCCAGTGAAATGCACATGTGTTCCCTGAGGCCACGGTCACTACTTACATCTTTGTTGCCATCTTTGTTTTGGTCATAATGCTTGTGGCAGTACCTGCAAGGGAGAAAGTGGTGAGACAGATGTGGCCAGAGGGGCCACATCTAGAAAGCTCATCGATGTTGCCTGCATCAGCAGCCTAATGATAGCCAAAATCAGGGGCCAGAACAGGAAGTGATTCTGGATCCTGCTGCAGAGTGGAGGTGGCCTTCTTAGCCTCTCACACCTCTCCTCTGTCCGGGGGACCTGCCTAAACACCCCTTGGGAGGTGAGGTGTCAGGGTCAACATACTCCTCGGCCATCTTTGTATCCTTCAGGATGTGGACATAGATGAAGAGAGCTTGTTCGTGTTTCCCCATGTGTCCCAGCAGAAGAGCACGTTCTTCTAAGAGACCTATGAGGAAAAAGAACTATAAGTAACCACCACCACCGTTATGCAAGCACGAGGCCAGGGGCTAAGGTACTGAGAAATGGATATCGGAGCTATATAAACCAGGAGAAAATACTTTTATTACTTGAGATTTATTCATGGAGAAATTACTAAAATTTAAAAAAGGAGAAGGGAGCTATTCTAGGAGGTACTTAATCCCATCTTTGTGACTGCTTGTGAACTGGGCAAGAAGACTTACTCAACAGCCAAGAGCATTGGAAGCACCTACAATGTGCCGGGCACTTCAGCTAAGGTAAACAAACACTTGGTCTCTGTTCTCACTGACCTTATTATACAGCAGACATGTATCTTTTTCAGAGATATTATGCCAGATTACAAAACTGCTAAACAATGAATGTGGCCAAAAACATGTATTGAAGCAATAAACAGGTTTCAACCTGGCTATCACTTAGTATGCAGTTCACACCCACAAGAGATTCTTCTAAGTCACGGTACAAAAGTCAAGTCTTCAGAGGGGACAGACAGGAGCACTGGCCTGAAACACATGGTATTTTCCAGGTCCAGCTTCTTAGAGGGTTTGGGGACTGGTAAAAGGGAAAGATCAGTTTCCGCATTACCTTCAGCTAAAGTGGCTTCTGGACCCAAGCCAGATACTCACCATCAAAAGGAAAATCACAGATGAGCCGGCCTGGGTCATAGTAGCTGGAAATTTCCAAAAACATAAGGAGCTTCCGTCGATATTCTCCCAGCTCGCCCTCTTCCTCTCCAGCAGGGACTGGAGTTTTGCCTTTAAGGGAAATCAAGCTTACCATGAAAGATATTGTTGGGCAGCAATGTGGGGTTGTCAAGAAAAATGAGGGGGTGGGGATCAATGTCATCACATGGCCTTCTCTTAGTTTACGGTCTTTACACATGGTCCCTCAAACATCAGCTTGAGGTTAAAAAAAAAAAAAGCTGCACAGAAAAACACTTTGGCAGGCAGACCTTTTTCTTATCTTGAAGACAGATCTGTTCCTTTCCCCTCCCCCTCGGGTGACACTCAGAGATGTCCAGACATGAGCTGCTGAGTCTCATGTGCTGGGTGACTTAGCTGCCCTGGCTCCTCTGAGGAACTTCCTGCACACCTGGGGCCCACAGAGAAGTCTGCTTCCCGACATCATACTGCACCCTCAGGTCCCTGTTTGCCTCTAAGGCCCAGGGCCACGCAGCTTTCTATGAGGACTAGTACCTGCAGGGAAGGACAGGAGATACTCCTTCATCAGACCTTGCACCTTCTCACAGTACAGCTGGATCAGGCAGTTGTGGAACCGAGAGCCCGTCTCCTCCCAAACGTGAATGACGTGTTCCTGAGGTGAGACGCAGGTCTGCCTGGTATCCTCACTGCTATGATCTAGCCCCATCACCCGGCCTCCCTCATATTTTTAAGGCCCAACAGGTCTCATCTAGACTGTCCCCTAATTAAGCTGCAGAGGTTACCAAGGGACAGTTCTTCTAAAACCACTGGGAAATTTCACAATACAACCCAGCAACATTAGGAATTCTTGATTTTCAATCTAAGCTTCTTTATTAATTTTGTCTCACAATCCTCCAAGTCAGCCCATGTAATGAAGGTTAAACATTTGCATTCTGGTACTTAAAACTAATTTGGCTGTCTTGTGGTCATAGTTGAGTTAGGCTGTACAAATGTGGCTTTGAAATGTTCTTCTTGAACATCCTTCTCTTTTACCCCTCTGTACTTTACCTAGGTTTAGAAGACAGCAACAAAAAGTAACAATTCCAGCTTGGCGTACTGGGCTCTCTTTCTTCAGAGGATGGTGAAATAACCATATTCCTTACATTTCTACCAAGCCCCAAGTGACACAAATCCCAACCTGAACTGCCGAATAACTGACCCATGTGGTCCTGGATTCTGGGTTTGAAACTTTTTAGTTCACACCAAAAAATATCTTACCAGATAAGGAATAGCCAGACTCTTAAAATTCTCTACTAAGAAGCCAAGCACTCGGTCTCGTGGCAGAGACTCCACCTCTGGGAGGTCTTCAGTAAATATCTGTGAAAACAAACCTGAGTTCCAGCAGGAGAACCATCTGACTGCAATGCTGCCTAACGCACACGCATCCACATGGAGGGGTCAAGTGGACAGACTTTTAGAGGGGAAGGGCGTACAAGAATGCATCTGCGGTCAACTAGTGTGTGACAGACTAGGCCGCAGGTCTCCTGACACCTGTGCAAGGTTCTTTCCACTACACTACGCTATATTCTCACGTTTCCCAGTCTACTCCTTCGAACACCAGAGAAACTGCACAAATCTTTCCTCCCGCTCCATCCACCACTGTCCTAAGGAGAATCAGGACCAACCATGGTAAATCCAAAGACCTCCCGTGACCTACCTTTAGGCCATCCTCTGGAAAGTCTCTCAGTACCCACACTGAGTAGGAAAAAATCAAATGCAGGTTTTCTGTGCCTAGAAGGAAACATTAAGACTCGTCTGCAGGTGAAGCCCACCCTGCCTATAGGACTGGGAAGGCAGGTGCCCAAGTTGCCCCAGAATTTATCTTCCAGTGAAGATAACTCTATCCAAGCACCAGTCACTCAGGGCTGCTTGGCCCTACTGGGCTAGCTACATACCAAGGGGCTCTCTTGGTTCTACCACTGAGAAACTTTTACCCCAGATGGAGGAACAAAGATGGGAAACACAAGAAGGAAGGAGGGGACTGACCAGCCAGAATCAGAGATGGAGAGCGAGCAGGTCCGTTTGAACACAATCCCTTTTCTACTCCCCTTTCAAAAGCTGTAATTACCCAGATGTTGCAGGTACTGCACCGTCCTCTCATGGCCTTTCAGAGGGGAGTTTGCTTTCTTGGACTGGTCCACCAGCACCTGCAGAGCTGGCCACAAAGCCCAAGAACAAGGTCATGAGACTCTTCCAGAAGGCTTATCGCCATGGGAGATTAGTCACACCTCGGTTTCCCCTGTCAACGTGCAAGAGCCCTCCCAGATCAATAAAAGCCCTGCCTCCAATCACCTTTCTCATGGAGCCCCTTCTTCTCGTACAGGATTATCAGTTCACTGTACTTGTGAGCCTTCTTCAGCACATGTTCACTCTCTTCGATATGGCAGTGATTGTTCTCCAGGCGCAGCAAGGGGGCCACCAGGGCCACGTTCGTCTGCAGAAGAAGCAGGATTTCAGTGAAAACTGCTTCCGGAGGAGCCCTACCCTTACCCTGCCAAGCTTTGCTTCAGGCTGAAAGGCCGGGGGTGCAACACAAGCAAGAAAAAGCAAACCACCCCTTTTCAGAACTATAGGTACGGCTTTAAGAACATTTATGTTCTTTCACACAACATACTTTGATGGTTTTTGGTGGGCCAGAGGAGGAATGAGATATTTCCTTTGAGGAAATAATGTGCACCTTGTAGCCTTGACTCCAATCTTACCAGAGAAGACCAGCCTACTGCAAGACTCTGGGTCAGTATCTTGACTTAACTTCTCAATTCCAAGAAACTCACAGGTATCAGGCAACGATTAGGTGGTTCCCGCCATCAAAAATTTCACCCTTACCAGTAGCAGGTACCCCAAAGTGGCACTCCTCCAGTTTCAGGGACTAGGGTATTATAGGTATCTGAGTGCTCAGAGAACTCACATGGAGGTAGCATTTGAGCAGGGTGGTGTCAATAATTTGCAAGAGCTTCTTCTTGGACTTGATGGTGGGAGTGCCTTCCATGAGTGGGGAGGTACTAGACTGGTGATCAGAGTCATTCAGCTTCTTTACCAATTGGCTTCGTTTCTGCAAAGGCCAAACATGTGGGATCAAGGCCAGTACTAAATCTTCCTTTATCACCTAATCTACCGGGTAAGTAATTCCAAACACCTCCAAATCAGCTCACACCTATCCACACCCTGAACTCACATTAGCATATAGTTTTTTTGAAGTTATAATATTTAATGGTTCTTTAAAATTTAAGTATACTTATAATATATCGCTCAATTGTGCATTAATAATTGTTACAGTTCAACTCAGATGGCATTTTTAAAACATAATCATTTAGTTGCAAAAAAATTTAAAAATTAAAATGACATTTGTTACAGAGATATGACAGAGTGCTCAATGAAAGATTTTCAAGATCAAAATGTATATAATATTAGCATCGAATTCTATGGAGGAAGTAGAATTAAAATAAAAATTTAAAGAGTAAAAGAAACAATGTTAAATTTTTCTTTTTTTTTTTTGAGAAAAAGTTTTTAAACAACTGAAATCCATGGAGCATATTTAATGTACCATACACAGTGCTAACTCCCCTTGACACAGATTTTCCTCATTTAATCTTCAACAGACTCCCTGTGATAGCATACAATTTTTTATCAGGGATCAAAATAGATGAGTGCCAAATTACCACAGATACAATAACAATTATTCACTACACCCAGGCACTATGCCAAGCACTTTATATATTATCCTATTTTAAACTTAAAAGAAATGTAGGTATTATTAGCCCTACTTTACAAGTGAATAACTCAAGGCGTAGATGTTAGATACCTCATAAGTGGCAGAGGCAGGTTTCAAACTAGGGTCTGATTCCAAAGCCCATGTTCTCCTATTTTCTTAAAAAAAAAACAAACAAACCCTAACTTTATTGAGGTATAAGTTGCATACAATAAAATATATCCCTTTTAAGTGCACCATTAGATGTATTTTGACAGATATTCATGCTTGTAATCACCACCCCAACCAAGGAACAGGACATTTCTATCACCCCAGAAAGTTCCCTTCCCAGACAATCTCACCTACTCCCTACCCCACTGGTCTGATTTTTATCACTAGAGATTAGTTTTTACCTATTCTAGAACTTCATTATATGAAATCATCGAATTTGTATTATTTTGTGTCTGATGGAAAAGCCCATTGTCTCATATGCTCTACCATCTCTCCAGCACAACAGCAGTGACAGGTAATGTCACACATTCCAAACATCAGTGGAGAGGCCAGGGAAGAATGTGTTCATGGAGCCCTAAAGCTAAGGCTTGAGAAACATTCTGCCCCAGGAACCGTTTTTACTTGACACATGGGCCATGCAGTGTGCAAAGAGGCAAGTTTGTGTGCTTCATGCAGGCTGCCAGCCATAGGTGGGTATCCCTGGAATCCTATGTCAAGAAAATGCCAAGGCTATGCATGCCTGATCCAGAAGCAGGTAGCGGAAAGCTGGCTTACAATTTTCCTCACAATACTTCTCAGTGCCTACCCGGGGTACTCCTTACAAAGGTCTGCAGAACACTTAAAAGGAAAAAAATGCACTAAGTTCTCTGACTCTGAGTGGGTGCACAGGAAAGAAATAATAGCTTTCTGTGAAAGAAATTTGGGGTTAAGAAGCTTCAATGAAGATGTGAGTTTTAGTGTCAACTTTAAAATTTCACTTATCTCCACAACAGTAAATTGACAAAAAATTAAAATCTAAATACTAAAAAACAAGTTACGGAAGATTATTTATTGACAGAAAGACTCTCTCAATATACGGATCAATTTTTAAAAAGTAAGCTATAAAATGATATACAGTTTGATATCCATTTGTAATAAATAAACCAAATAAATAAGCAAAACAAATTCCCAAAATACATATAAAAGTCTGGATGGACAACACTAAAATGTAAGGTACTTTTCTCTGGGTTGTAGATAGAGTTATCGGTGATTTGTATTTTTGCTTTATACTTTTCTGTGTTTTCCAAGTTTTCTGCATAAAGCAGTTTTTTCCCCAAAATTATATATGCTACAAAAAAGTTTGTTTTAAAATATTCTTTTCTGTCAACTAAAATTTACTCTTTTTAGTTTCTGAACAGCTTAGTTATAAATTTACTAGAAATCGAGTGTGTTTCCCATTATCAGGATTTGGTAAAAAGAATAAAAATAAAAATAAAACAGCTCAATGTTATTATTGAGGAGGGAGAAGAAGCAGGACATTGTGCCCACGCAGACTTCTATAACGTTTGTTTATGGAATGCCTGTGGTTTACAGAAGGCCCTCAATTCTCTGCCATTAAGGAATAAGGTGCTGGAACTCCCAGGTAAACTCTTCCATACACCTCTCTATCATACCTACCTGTGTCAAGTAGTCAATGAGAGCTAAGTGAGCCTTCTCCAATTCAGCCCCGGAGAGCCCAGGCAGAGGGTTAGGATACTGCAGTTGCTTCCTGTAGTCTGTGGGCAACAGGTCAGGGTACAGGCCCATCACATGGGTGGGATCTATACAGAAGGTAGGCATGATTCCCCAGAAAGAAACACAGTGATTTAAGGATCAAATAAAACAAGTTCCAGACTGATTTTTTAAAAAATGACTCTAAGTTCATAAATGCTCAATGAACTATACACTTATAATTTAAGCACTATTTATATATATATTTCACTACAACATTACAAAATGGCATGACTACATTCTAATACACAGACACATATACATATACGAATTAGACTGACTGAAAGTATAGGAGAAAAAAAATTTCCTAAGGAAAAACTGATAAGACAACGAAGCTCAGAGAGTCCCAGCAACTTTGCCCAAGGTCAGGCAGCCCGACTCTAGAGTGCCCGCTCCTCAGCCAATGTCTCGAGAGTTTTTAGGACACTGAGAAAAGGAAGGGCTTCACAGCACTGCCCTGTGTTGGCTCTCAAAAATGACCTACTGTTTAATCCTACTAAGTTCAAGTCAGGGACTTTTGTTTAGACGAATAAATAGAAGATCATCAAAGACACTTCTATTCAATAAATAGAAGATGATCAAAGACACATTTGTTGAATTAAATGAGTTTCTGTTAACCTTCTCAGAGGGCAAGGGAAATTACCCTGGAAAATTGGAATTCTGTCTGTATTTATGGGTGAGACCAGATTCTTAAGGTAAAGACTATACATTTGTAACCACCTGGCCACCCACGGCATCCCGTTAGGTATGAAGATCAATTTAGATGAGCATCGGCTTTCCCCTTTCTCAGAAGTCTGGTATCATTTCTCCCTGTCCTTACCAGTTTCCCCTCCCTCCATTAGTTCCTTATCCCAAGGCCACACCCACTTGTTACCTGTGCCAAGCTTTGCAAAGACCTGCATGGACTCATCAAAACGCTTCTGGCAGAAGAGGTTGAAGGCGTACAAGTTCTTGATATGATGGATCTGCTGTTGCTTTTCACTGTCAGAATCATCTTTCATTTCCTAATAAGAGAGCAGAATAAGTAAGAGCTCACTCACTCAAAAGGTATTTATTCAGTATACATAGTGTTAAACAATATCCCAAGAGGTATAAATGCCAATGTGTATAGACAGCCACATGGTATCTGCCCTCACAGACTGCCCTTACAGTCTACATAAGACTGATAAGTAACCACACAATTAACACACAACAGGGTTTCTACAAAATATACCTGACCACTACTCCTGAAAACTGTCAAGGTCATGAAATGCAAGGAAAGACTAACAGACTGTCACAGATCAGAGGACACTAAGGACACACGACAGCTAAACACAATATTATTTCTGGATTTGAACCTGGAACAGAAAAAAGGACATTAATGGAAAAACTGGCAAAATCTGAATGAAGTCTAGAATTCAGTTTAAAACAAAAACATCAACACCAAAATAAAACAGGGTATGAGTGATGATGGAAGCACATGAGAGGGGTATGCAAGTTAGTCTGAGTGGTGGGTCCAGGAAAGATTATTGAAGGAATGAATGTTAACTGAGGCACAGAAAATGAGCTGGAGCTGGCAAGGCCAGACAGGTGACAGATGGGAAGGGAAGCAGCAAGTGTGTTCCTAGAAAAGAAGACAGCACATGTGCAAGCCCCTAAAACACACAGAGAGAACATAGCATGCTCAAGAAATAAAAGACACGACACAGTTGGCACAGTTGGGAAAGGCCCTGTTCACAGTAAAAGCTAAATAAATGTAGCTATTTATTATCTCTGTTTCTTCCTTAAAACCTGCCCCCACATCTCTCTTTTATCCCATCTTTACTTAATTTAATTTCTTCCTTCAAAATAAATTTAATTTCTTCTCAAAATATCTCCCATTTCTCTTCCTTTCCTCTCCTTTTCTATTGCCATCCCCCTAGGCCAGACCATTAACAGGCAGTCAACCTGGTCTAAGCTTTCCTGCTTGGTGCTTTAAAAGCTTTCAAAACCTGGTGCACCTCCTTTTCTAGCTTATTCCCAGACAGTCAAGTCACACCCTCCAAATGCTCTAGAAATACTTATTCCACACTTGTTTTCACTTCTTTAACTTCCTTGGGCTCTTTCGGTGCTCCCTCTTTCCTGCTCCTTATTTTACTTATCCTTAAAGGGTCTAACCTTAGGATACTTTCTCTAGCTCTTAGAGAACTGTCCCTTCTCTAACGTTTTGCTCCATATTTTATCAATATTGAAGTTTGGTATGTAATTGCCTTCTGAAAGTTTCATATAAATCATATATGATTTATTTAAATAAAAGTAAGAGAAAGAAAAGAAACTGAAGGAATAAACATTGAATAATTATGTGTAGATGACATTTATATCTATATAGAACATAGATTCAATTTAGAAATATTTTAAAAACAGCAAATGATACTATAGCTCAAGGTAAAATTATAGGAATCAAAATAACTTTTCCATGAATTAGCAACAAAAAACTGGAAAACAACAGAAAAAATAGAAGATCCAAATGCAGCACAAACTCTACATTCTTGGACAGGAAGACACATATTGAGATGTTTACTCCTTTTAATAAATCTT